GGGGGGGAGAGTTTTCTCGGCCAAGGTGGCCACTTCCTGCAAGGCAAGATCAACGGTCAGCCCCGGAGCTGCAGGTTCCTTGATTACTGGATCAACAGTTTGCTCAACCATAAATTATTGAACAAGACAAACCTCAGGTGCTTAACTGGTGGGAAGGTCTGGTTGCTTGTTCGCCAAAGCTTGAACGGTAGGAACGCGAGAAGACTCAGTGGTTGCTCTTGTGGTTTGGCTGGAGATGACATGAATCACCTGCTCCCTTTTTTTCGCCAACTTCTTGATGCGTTTTTTAGAACGGGGAGCGTCGCCAGCTGCCTCGGCCTCTGGGAGAGACTGTTGTCCCAGCAAGGTCGGTAAAGTGGTCACGGTTTTCTTTAGCGAGAGGGTAAGTTTTTTCTTGGCCATGGCCGCAGCTACGTTTGTATGACTACCTGAAAACGCTAAAATCAAATCAAAAGGGAGTTTGAACAAGTTACCAAAGTGAAATGATAGACGCAAACAAATACCTTGAGCCATTTCTTTGGATGTTGGGTCAGGAGTCTTCTTCGGGCAGTCGTCGAAAATTTTCTTGGTAACGTTTTCAACTGGTGCACCAAAAAAGTCTTGAGTATATACGACCCACCAGCCAACAAGGTGGCAGTATTGAGAGTCTTAGGGACGTTCAGTTGGAGGCAGAATTTCTTACACCTTTCTTGAAATTCTTACTCGACCTCTCTGCATTCTCTTTTTGAAGAACCAGAGAGGCGTCATCGGCTTAGGAGAAAACGGGAGGTGAGTAGAGGCAGTGGGTAACCTTAGAGGTAGCCAAGTTGTCGTGCGGTGAAATGGGGTTGGTAGACTTCCCAACTTGCACGCTTAACATCGCAGCCAAGAGGAAGGTCGCGAGTTAACACAAACGATCCCCAGTTATTTCGGAGGTTAGTGTCTTCAGTTTTATTCCATGTTGAGGATGAGAGCTTGATGGAATAGGGTATTCTTGACGACGACAGATTAAAAACTCGTCATTAGAAAGGTCTTCTAGGCTGAAAAAGTATTTAAAAACTTCTTCGGCCGAGTGAGGATGAGCAGGTCTAGAGCCTAATTGAAGACCTAACGCTTCAGAGGGTCTGAAGTTGAGGACTTCTGGCCTGCGGGTGGCAAAATAGACTTGCAGCCAGAGTTGAAGAACCCAGAGTGAGACAGTCTGGTGTAGGTTAATCTTGTTGATCATCGTCTTGGCTAGGCAACACGTGAGGTTGGCGAGGATAACCGAGCTAAGAGCCAGGATATGACCACTGGCTAAGGCTTCAACGACGGGCATGTTCTCGACCAAAAATTTATTCGACTTGGTACAACAAATAAATTTGTTATACCAGTAGAAAAGAAAGGCTTCATGTTCTCTTTTCCTGAGGTTTTCTTCCCCTCGGCCAGCGAAGTGTTGAATAAGGGTGTTGTAGTTAAAGAAGTTCTTGTGCAATTTCTGAACTTCTTCTTTCAAGGGCTCTTGGTTTTTCTTCCTCAGCGACTCGACTGCGCGTTCGTCGAAGAGTATCTTGAGGTCGAGGTTGGATGGGCACCTAGAGAGGGAGACGTCAATAGGGAGACCTGAAGGGGAGGTCCCGAGAATGGCTGAGACATCTAGAATGGTGAAGCCAATAGGGCCGAGCGGGAAGACCATAGTATTGGTGGCCGAGCACCAAAAGCCTAGAGCTACCATGAGAAGTTTTTTGTCCATGGCGATCTCGATGGTCGAGAGCTTGATGGCATCATAAATGCTGAGAATCTTCCATTCCTTACTGAAGAACTTCTTCATCCTTTCGATCCACACACTACCCAGGTTGTGGTAGTTGAAGGCCAGGCTCCTTGGGGTTTGGTCAATTCCCACTTCAACCAGTCATATCCTTGAAGCAAAGGTTCCAAGCAGTGATCTTTGAGGAGGTTGGTAATGGATGCTGGGACATTGTCTTTAAAGAGTTTTCCCAAGATCTGGTGAGAAGCACTTGAGTCACTTTCGAATCGCAGGGTTTTGATGGCACTCCGATCGATGAAGTCCCGACACTTGGCCTATTCGTTGGAAAGTTTAGAGATGAAGGTGTTGGGAGCCATTGTTGAGAACTTGAAGAAATTTCTGGACTCAAAAGTTTTTTGGTTAGAAACAGAGCTTTGAAGGTTGATCTGGGAGTAAAAGATTTGAGAGTTCTGAAAGCGTAAAGGGAAAAATGAAGGACTTTGGGTATTTATAGGGGTTTTGGAAGAAGGCCAATCGTTTGATTTTGAAAAGAAAGGTTAAGACCAATTGGACAGTTTTACAATCATCATGGAGATTTGGGAAATCAGTATGAAGAGACCGGAGAACTCGTGGATTGAGGCGACGTGGTGACGTGTGGCGGCGATTTTTTATGATGAAAGGACAATTCAATGACCTAGCAGTTCTTGATTCAAGGTAGCACGGGTATGTGTGACGGCATGATTAATGATGAAGAGATGTTTGGCGTCTGCACATTTCAAATGTCATCATAAGAGGACAAGCGAGTATATGTTGATGAAAAATCATCAAGATCGACCCATTAGGACGACTGTTGTGCCTAAACCACACTATAGCACAAACCAACACCTAAAACGCCAACATAAGCGCGGTAGGGGAGGCCAGAAGCCACCCCGTCAAGGTCAACAGAGCCAAAGCCCATCTAAGGGAGGAAACCGAGCCTAAAAGCGTTCTAACTGCACTCCCAAGGCCTTGAACTTCAAGCATAAGGGCAAATCACCTGACACCATGGATGAGGATATATGCTAATGCTGTGGTTCAAAGGACCATTGGTCCTGTGTTTGTCGTGCTCCCGAGAATGTTGTAGCTGAATATCATTATCGTCGTACGATGTTTTAATCAAACTTTGTGCAAGTGGATGAACCGAAGAGTACAAAGATGGAGGTTTTTTATTTTCAGGAGGCCGTTACCCCTATGGAAGATTAGAATTTTAGACATTTTAGCTGAACTTTAGACCCTTGGGGCCGAATTTCACTAAGTGGCCGAACCCCACTGTTTTTTGGTTTAAGTTTGAACAATTTTCCTTTATATTTGGATTATTTGTTGGTGATTTGTTTTTGGATATTAAGTTTTTTTTAATTACTATCCTCGAATACTTAAATAATTTTGAATGGATATTTATTTCTAGAACTTTTATGCATGTGACCGATTCAAATTAATTTTTATTTCTAGGTATGACTAGCGGGAAAGTTAGTTGTCTGGCAAATAATCCAACCACACATATCGTTTTGCGTGAGCACATCTATTTCACTAACTTCGTACCTAAGACTGCATCTCTGACAACCTTCTCAGGCCCATCCAACTTGATCGAAGGATACGATAAGGCACATATAATGTTGTCCAATGCTACAATCTTGACCATTGATGAGGCATTTTATTCTCCATGTTCCGGAAGAATGTTGTTGAGTTTCAAAGACATTCGAGACAATAATTACCACGCTGAAACCTATGTAGCAAATGGAGTTGAATTTCTATGTATCACTTCCTACGGATATTGCCAGAAGAGTATTTTAGAGAAGATGGAGCGTATCCCAAGTGGTCTGTATACTACAATCATACGCCCTATAGAAAGCCACTATGTGGCCAACCCTACCTCAGGGACCGCACACAAAATTACACTTTGGCATGATCGTTTGGAACACCTTGGACGAACAACGATGGTCGTATCCTTAAATCTTCACATGGGCATCCACTAAGCCGAAGTTTAGGTTCGATTCAAGGAATAGCATGTCAAACCTGCTCCATGGGAAAACTTATTATTAAGCCTTCTTATGAAAAGATTCGTTCGAATCCTCCTATTTTTCTATAAAGGATTCAGGGGGACATTTGTGGACCGATTCACTCTCCTTGCGGACCATTTAGATATTTTATAGCATTGGTTGACGCTTCCACACGTTGGTCACACGTGTGCTTGTTGTCCACAAGGAACGTTGCCTTCTATAAACTGTAGGCTCAGGTTATCGAGCTCAAGGCTCACCACCCTAATTATCCAATCAAATCGATTCGATTGGAAATGCTGGATAATTCACATCTAAAATTTTTTATGACTATTGCATGTCTGTTGAGGTTGAAGTTGAACATCTTGTACCCTATGTTCACACCCAGAACGGCCTAGCAAAGGCATTCATTAAGCGCTTACAAATGATTGCTCGATCGTTGGTCATGCCTACCAAGCTCCCAATCGCTGCTTGGGACCATGCAATATTGCACGCTACCATGTTGGTCCGCCTGAGGCTTGTTGCGACCCAACTATATAGCGCCCTTCAGAATCCTTATCCAATCCTCCAAATCAACTTACTGGTAGATTCAACTTCAGAAACTAGCTGCTAATTTTCTTGGACGCATACTCCGACTGCAAACAAATAGCCATGCACGAGCCCAACAAGGAGAAAATTGTGTTCATGATCAAGCAAGGTACTTACTATTACAAAATCATGCCTTTTGCCCTCAAGAACGCAAGAGCTACTTACCAACGACTAGTAAACATGATGTTCAAGAGACAAATTGAAGTAACCATGGAGGTCTATGTCGACGACATCATGGTGAAAGACAAGTCGCAGTCAAACCACATTGACAACTTGACGAAAACTTTCAACATCCTTAGAGAGTACAAAATGAAGCTCAATCCCGTCAAATGCCCGTTTGGGGTATCTTCAACAGATTCTTGGGGTACTTTGTGACCCAGCATGTATGAGCAATCCTAAAGATGAAATCTCCAACTATCCAAAAGGAAATCCAAAGTTTGACTTTTGTATCATGTTAATAGGTCATGTAAGATATTACAACCAACCCGTTTCCACAAATACCAGCACTACAGAATACAGATGGTTCGAAAAGAAAACCCTTGACATACAAACTACAGAACCCTACATCTCGGAGGATAATCGTCGCAGCCAAGAAAATAAAAATCAATACCTGAGAGAAGCTTTGAGTCGTAAAAGTGAACGCTATACATTTTGTAAAAGTAAAAATGGGAGCATTCAGAAAAGTACGTAAATATAAACATCACAAATATTATTCAAGTGAAATACAATTTTGCAGTGATGTGTAAATATTTGTATATTATCTTACAAATTTACAATCACTTGAACAAATAGAATCGCAACGTTATACCAATTGAACCTTTTATTACACATACATAACCATAAATTTATACTTTGAAATTACCATTGGAAATTTGTAGGTTGATATTGGTAGTCTTGTATTGTATAACTATGTGTGGTTGCTGCTCTAGTGACCGATGCAAATCAAATGTACACTGAATGAACGAATGAAGAGAGCACGCCAAAGAGACATGTCTAAATCACTTGTCAGAACCCACAAGTTGCTACATTTCTTTAAGCTGAGACCGCAGGTGCTGAAGCTTATGTGTATTCAAGTATGGCACCAGTATGATTGAATCCACATGATATTTGTAGTGCTTTCACATTCTGCCCGAACGTAACCATTGCAGGTTTTATGCAGTCAACATCAGTTCCATGACCCTATCAATAAAAGGAAATCCAATAACAGTTTCATTCACAGAAGCAAAGTATTAAAACCAAATGCTAACAAAAAGTAATAACACACGGGAGAAGCAAACCAGTTGTCCTCCAGAAGAATGTCCATCTTCGGAAAATGTTCCAAGGGAACCTCCCCAACCCCATGTATAAATATTGCCTTCTGTTACCAAACACAATAATTTTCTTGTGAAAAACCTATGAGCAGAAACGGAGAAAGTGACCAGAAGCACACAAATGAATGTTCTTGTAAAATTTAAGTTTCTTTCACAAATACCGGTGCAGTATGGTTTTAACTATAAAAATAGTTCTTACCAGAAATTGCTGCTGTATGCTTCCAACCGCACGATACCTACATATGCACATTTGTTAAAGCATCAGGAAATAAAGCATGCTATGTTGTTACCATGTGAAAGAAAAAAATGTTATTCAGGAAACCCAAGGGGAATTAGTCTGAATAACGTGAAGTGTAAACCTTGACAACCGGGGATTTTAAAAAAGGTCCCTGAACTCTTTCTGGGTGGTGAAAAACGTCTGTCGTACTGGACATCAAATATATGAATAAACCAATCAATTAACCAACAAATATATGAATATCAATATTTTGCGTACTGGAACTGTAACTAGTCGCAAACTAAAACAAAATTTTCAAGCAAAACTTCAATTAAAAAAAGTAGAGGAATATATACCCAATGCCAAGGCACCCATTTTCATTTGATCCCCAACTGTACAGTTCTCCACCACCTATGTGAAAAGAAAAATAGATGATTGGAGTGAATACATTAATGACAGACTTAGTATTCCTATAATCAATTGCCTCTTATTGTATAAAAGTAACTCCGATATCTTGCATTATAAATATATAAAAAAAAGTTTGAGAAGACCAATAGAATATCAACACACTTCCATATCATAAGCATCATTAATTCTGAAGAAGGAATGTGCTAAAACTGAGTTTCTTCTTAGCCATTGTCAACGCTATTAAGAAAAAGGCAACTCACCATAAGGCCTATTTCTAGGTAATCTATATATATAAAGGGAGCCCACCAAAATGGTGAAGCTTTTAATATCCCCAAAATACCCCTCACTAATTAGGATTGTAAAATAAAACAATTTAATTTAAAAAGAAAAAATTCAAACTAAAAAAATTACAAATAAATAAGAAACAATAAGATGTAAAAGAGCAAATTGCCACACACAAATTGCAGATACAAATGTCTTTCATTAGGAGAGGAACTGAATTCGTTATATGTTGTGAATCATGTGGCAATGTCACATACGATGTGTTAAGAATCATCATTAATGGATCACCCTAATCAACCTCATGATGTTCTTAACTCAATTGGGAATGGTATGAACATATGTTGATGATGACAATGTGATATGTGAATGAATATAACGATGATCAACTTCATTGAGAAAGATGATAAGATAATTAATTACTTGTTAAGACACACGTGTGATAGCCACCACAAGCAACTTCTTTGGAGCATGGCAGTTTGCTGATCATGGATGGTGTTGTTGCATTGTTCCCCTTTCCAGACCACTATTATTCCATAAAAAAAAAATTAAAAAAAAAATATGACTTAAATAGTAAAGGATTGTTTAACAAGGTCCCTGCCAAGATCTATGATCAGAGGTAAACCCACTAAGTGTCCAAAAGTATGCCCGCTAAAATTTCAAAAGACAGTCTCCACACATACATATTTAGGATGGGTCAGGATCACTAAAACTGGAGTAATCTAAGAGTTTAAAAAGTGTGTCTAAATGTGTATTTTTTAAATGTGTTTGATCCTAACCCTATATTTAAATATTAGATTTTTAGCTAATACCTGTCACTAGAAGTGAAGAGGGAGAATCAAAGACAGAGCTGGGAGAAAAGGTATTTGGCATCAATGTTCCCCTTTTCTTCAACCATATATTTTGATTTAGGGTTTCAGAGAATTTTCAGCTTTACTATATGTATCCAAATAGCTCGTTGGATTAAGTCCAGCATGGCAAATGTCATTTGTAAATCCTTTGTATCTGTGTTGATAAATCCTGAAATTCTTGTCTTGAGTTCAGGCAAGATAATTTGGATGATTGATGAACCAAAAGAACAGATTCTTGTTGGGCAGGTGGCACATAGGTCGTCAAATACTTTGTCATATGCTAAAAAACAAAGACCCTATGCTTTTTTTGTCTTTTTTTTCTTTTACTTTTATGCTGACAGAACAGAGAAACAAGGAAAAAGAAAATGCTTTAGAGAAAAGTTTGACTTCCTTGACAAGAGTGGACTCAAGTACGTATATTTAAAATTAAATTTATTTCATTCAGTTATTACTTTGATTAAGTAACAACTTATATTACCTAACAAACACTTGATTTCCGACGATATGCATGACCAGAACTTAAAAATTTTGAATTATTTTTTAACATTATTTCATGGTTTGATTATAATCACTGTTCTTTTCCTTGAAGAATATAAAGTTACTTTTTTCTAGGACTTACTAGAATTTTGTTTGTATACACTAATTTCTCAAGTGAACAATTTCGTTACAAAAAATGTTTCACCAAAAGTATTAATTGTGGTTTTCTAATATAGTTAACACTAACTAGAGACATTCATCTTAGCAAAATTACAAAATCATCATAATATGTTGCTTGCAATGCACCACTAAAAGACAATCCTGGCTCTGCGCCAAGTGTATGATTTTCAACCTCATTTCAAAGAACTGTCCTTGACTTACCAATTTATCTACTGTTCTTTCACCAAACATGAATACGGACCCATTGTCTGAAAAAATGGAAAAGCAAAATGATATAAATATTTTTTTTTTCAAATTCAGAAATTGATGCCATACCACAAACTTGGATCACCCAAAAAGCCAAAAGGTACCATCAATGCATGCTGATTGCAGCAATCCAGCAGCAACCTCTTTAACCTATACATTTATAAAATTGAAGCTGGAAGACAAAAACATTAACCAAATACTAACAAGTACATTCAGGTATGATAATATGAATCAAAACTTGACAGCTCAGTAAGTGATTATACCTTGATCCCCTCAAGTTTCTTGATAAGTCGTGGTGTATATTCGCTGCAAAAGATATTTATTGGTATCACAGAGACGATGGACACCCAAAATTATTGCTGGATAGGAGACACTTATGGTAAAGGAGCTGTTCCCATACGGGATCCTACGTTATCGCTTAAGCATATATCCAACACTCTTTGTGTCCATTGTCTATTACAGTAAATTTAAGCAAACTACAAACATATGTTGTATTCCAATATCGAATTATTCATTCTTGAACAGCCCAAAATGGGGTATAACTGAAATATGGGAGAATAGCTATATTATTTAGAATTTTATGTTGTGTAATGTGAGGTTCAGAGTTCCAGTAAAGGAAATCTCGATAAACTTAAATCAGATCAACTAAATATATCCATCATATACACAATTAGCCTTCACATTTCTATTTGTGTAAGCCTGCATTATTGCCACATGAACTGTCCATGTTGTTTGTGTTGCAACTCTGGCCATGCAATGTGGTTTGATTCAATGTATGTAGGACCAATTGTCAATGGTTATACTTGAGTAATTACGGTGATGCAAGACCAAAGTCAGCTCTGTACCAACTGAAGTTTATCCATCAGTATTACTTTGGGCCTTTTGTAGTTTGCATACATTGCCACAAACAAAAATAAGCTTCCATGTTGCTTCAAAGGTAAAAGAAATTGCACACCAACAATCTATATCAACTTAACACCCCCTCTCTCTCGTGCATTTCTATCTCACATGACTACACCTACAAGTGGAGAGGTAAACAGAGAGAAAACTTACACTTTCAAACCAGCAAAGAAATGGGGTTTAAGGATTGAAGGTTTCAAACCCATGAGTAATTGCAATTGAAGCTCAAATACCTGTTAGGATTTTGGCTCGTCAAATATGTCCTAGTTGGTTTAGGATTGTTTTAGGAAACCTAGAGGTATACCGATTCTTGTCCTAGAGGTATTAGGAAAGAATTTCAGTTTCCTTATTCAATTTAGGTTTGGATTTCTAGAAGTCTATTTGGTTTTGGATAGTGTAATTCCCTGGTCCACTTAGAAATAGGAATTCAATCAGCCTTGGGACATGTAAGCCAACCCTATGTCTATAAATAGGGTGCGGCAAGGCTGATTTTATAGGAGAGAAAGAAAACAGCCAGACAGCCAAGAGTTTTGAGATTAGTTCTAGGGTTTGCAAAAGTTCTGTAATCTCTATTATTAATCAAAGGAGCAGTGATTTCTATGACTAGAGAAATCACAACTGGACGTAGGCATAAGTTCTGCCAAACCAGTATAATTCTTGTGTGTTTCTAAGTTTTCTAATATTTGTTAGTTTAGTCTATTGTTGTTGGTTACATTAAAGAACAAGATCTAGTGTGCGGGTTTTTCAACAATTGGTATCAAGAGCTAGGAACAAGGTGTTCTACGATGTCAAAAGGGAAGATGAATGCAGATCAAGGATCTGCGTTAAAGCCCTTTGACGGCAAGGATGACTTCACAGACTGGCAAAGGATGATGAAGAACGTACTGATAGAGCAGGATTTGGATGATGCACTCGATGGTGAGAAGCCGGAAAACATGACAGAGGCAGCATGGACTAAGGTTCTCAAGAAGGCCAAGAGTTCCATCAAGATCCATCTCACAAGATCAGTTCGGTCACACATCACCGAAAAGATGACTGCCCACAAGCATGGGAAAAGTTGGAGAATGTTTATATGGGCAAAATCGTGTCCAATAAACTTTTTCTAAAGGATGAACTATTCGGGCTTCGACTAGAAGAAGGAGGTGATATTGAAGATCACGTATGCAGGTTCCAGAATTGCATAGCTAATCTTCAGAAGGTCGAAGAAACTTACAAAGATGATGATATGGCTATCATCTTGCTGAGGTCTCTACCTTTGTCTTTCAAGCACTTTCGAACAACTCTAATGTTTGGAAAAGAGTCCTTGAAGCTTGAAGACGTAATTCAAGCTCTTCAGTAATATGCTAAACTGGATGATATAACTGAAAGCTCTTAAGGCCTTTATGCTAAAGGCAAGGAGAGGGGGTGGGAAAAGACAAAGGAAGAGAAGACTGAACTCTGGCATCATAGGCTTGGGCACATAAGCCAGAAAGGTTGCAAGAATTACACAAGCAAGGCCTATTGGAAGGCGTGTCATCTTGCAAATTGGACTTTTGTGAATACTGTGTTCTCGGAAAGCAAAGAAAGGTATCATTCGCAAGTAGCAGTGCAGATAACCGAAGCAAGGAGCAACTCAGCTATATTCACTCAGATGTTTGGGGCCCTGCACCAACTAAATCAAATGGTGGAGCCAAGTATTTTGTTACTTTCATGGATGATTTTTCTAGGAAGGTTTGGGTTTATTTCATGAAGCAAAAATCTGAGGTTTTTGCAACGTTCAAGGAATGGAAAACAGAAACCGAGAATCAAACGGGAAGAAAGATCAAGTACCTGTGAAGTGACAATGGTGGTGAATATACAAGTAATGAGTTCACCGATTACTGCAAGCATGAAGGCATCATAAAGCACTTCACAGTAAAGAAGAATCCCCCACAAAATGGAGCTGAGAGGATGAACTGAACTCTCATGGAGAGAGAGAGGAGCATGCGATTTCATGCAGGATTACCTGATAGTTTTTGGGCAGAGGCTGTTAACCATGCAAGTTATTTGATTAACAAGTCACCATCTACAGTTCTTGGTTTTAAGAATGCAGAAGAGGTATGGTCTGACAAGCCGGTGGACTATTCCAAGCTCAGGGTGTTCGGCTGTAGTGCTTATGCACATATTCCAAGTGATGAAAGGTCCAAGCTCAAACCAAAGTCTACACATTGCATATTCTTAGGTTGTGAGAAAGGAGTTAAGGGTCTCAAGTTTTGGGATTTCAACAACAGGAAAAAGGTTGTTAGTCGAGATGTTTTCTTTGATGAAACAACCATGCCTCTTAATAAAGTCAAGAGCAGTAGGGAGAAGACGGACGATGCTAAAATTGAAGCAACAAAGATTCCATTAATCAGTTCAGATGAAGAAGCTTAGGTGGAGCAAATCGAGCAAGAGACCAAATCTGATGGTTTTGAGGAAGAAGAAGAGCATCAGCATGGTTCACCAGTTAGGAATCAGGTGGACCAAGAAACAGGACAAATTGAAGGCACTCCAATCCGCTAGACATCCCAAAGTGGTCAAACTCCAACCAACAATCCATCTACATTCTAGAGATGCATAGCACTGGACAAACCTAATCGGAACAAGAAACCTGACAGATTTGGGTTTGACCAAGATGAAGTTAATTATGCTCTTAACATTAGTCAAGGAGATCCGACTACTTATCGAGAAGCTATAGCTAATGATGAGCGAGATAGTTGGATAAGTGCTATGATAGAAGAAATGGAGTCTCTTTACAAGAACTCTGTTTGGGAGTTGGTTTCTAAGCCCAAAGACAGAAAGCTAGTTGGATGCAAGTGGGTATTTAGGAAAAAGGAAGGACTACATGAACAAGATGCCATGAGATTCAAAGCAAGGCTCGTGGCTAAGGGGTACTCACAAAAGGAAGGGGTGGATTATGATGAGATCTTTTCACCTGTAGTCAAGCATACTTCTATCAGATTACTCTTAGCTATGGCAGCTCAGCATAACATGGAGATTGAGCAGATGGATGTGAAGACAGCGTTACTTCATGGAGATCTAGAGGAGACGATTTTCATGGCTCAACCATAAGGGTTTGTTGAATATGGGAAAGAGAACCTAACCTAGTATGTCAGCTAAGGAAGTCCCTGTATGGCCTCAAACAATCTCCAAGACAGTGGTACAAGAGGTTTGATTCATTCATGCTGAATCAATTTTAGAAGATGTTTATATGACTATTGCATGTACTATCATGTGTTCCAAGATGGGATGATCATATTACTATTGCTATATGTGAATGGCATGCTAATTTCTTGTCAAGACAAGTCTAGAATTTAAGACTTGAAAAAGATGTTGAGTAAGGAGTTTGATATGAAGGATCTAGGTGCTGCACAAAAGATCCTTGGCATGGAAATTCAGAGAGATAGGACCGCTGGAAGGATCTGGATATCACAAGCCAAGTATATTCAGAAGGTTCTTGAGAAGTTCAACATGCAAGAAGCAAAGGTAGTTTCGACTCCTTTGACGGCTCACTTCAGGTTAAGTGGGCAACAATGTCCTACGTCCGAGGAAGAGCAACAAGTAATGAAGAAGGTGCCTTATGCTAATGCCACGGGCTGCCTCATGTATGCAATGGTATGCACACGTCTTGACATAGCTCAAGCAATCAGTGTCGTTTCCAGATACATGGCAAATCCAGGAAAGCAACATTGGGATGCAGTCAAGTGGATTTTGCGTTATTTGAAGGGTTCTTGGTGACAAAGGATTATGTTTAAGAAGCAAAAAGAAAATGCAGGAGTGTTAGGATATGTGGATGGATGCAGATTATGCAGGGGACTTGGACAAGAGAAGGTCAACTTCTGGTTATGTGTTTACATGCACAACAGGACCAATCAGTTGGAGGGCACTATCGCAACCAAATATAGCTTTGTTGACCACACAGGCAGAGTATATTGCTTTGGCTGAAGCTAGAAAGGAAGCAATTTGGCTTAGTGGCTTGGTAAGTCAAATGGGAATGACTCAAGATTGTGTGAAGCTGAAGTGTGATAGTCAAAGTGCCATTTTTTCTGGAAGATCAAAGCACATTGAAGCAAGGTATCATAGAATCAGAAATTGGGTGGAGTCTACGGAAATTTGGATTGAAAAGATTCATACGGATGACAATGCCGCAGATTTGCTTACAAAGATAGTGCCGGCCAAGAAGTTCAAGCATTGCTTGAACTAGATTTGATTAAAGTGGAGCATCTCCTCACTTGAGGTGCAATGAGGCAAGAAGAAGATTGCCAAGGTGAAGACTCTTGAAGATTTCCAAAGCTGCTTCAAGAAGGTTCAAAGATACTTTGGGGTGCAACGATCAAGACTTGGTTTGACTCACCAAGGTTGAGATTCTTAGGATTTTGGCTCCTCAAATATGTCCTAGTTGGTTTAGGATTGTTTTAGGAAACCTAGAGGTATACCGATTCTTGTCCTAGAGGTATTAGTAAAGAATTTCAGTTTCCTTATTCAATTTAGGTTTGGATTTCTAGAAGTCTATTTGGTTTTGGATAGTGTAATTTCCTAGTCCACTTAGAAATAGGAATTCAATCAGCCTTGGGACATGTAAGCCAACCCTATGTCTATAAATAGGTTGCGCAACGCTGATTTTATAGGAGAGAAAGAAAACAGCCAGACAGCCAAGAGTTTTGAGATTAGTTCTAGGGTTTGCAAAAGTTCTATAATCTCTAGTATTAATCAAAGGAGCGGTGATTTCTCTGCCTAGAGAAATCACAACTGGATGTAGGCCTGAGTTCTGCTGAACCAGTATAATTCTTATGCGTTTCTAAGTTTTCTAATATTTGCTAGTTTAGTCTATTGTCGTTGGTTATATTAAAGAACAAGATATAGTGTGCGGGTTTTTTAACAATACCATGTTAGACAAGACCCCAAAGGCTTACGTCATTAGGGAATGTACCAACACTGTATATTAAGCTAACTATAATGACTTTGCACAATTTCAATGTTGACTTTATTATCAAAGGTTTTTTTTTTTTTCCATAATCCAGGTTGGTCCTAAAGTAAATTGCCCTTGAATTAGCATGGTAAATATAGCATAAAAAGAAAGGAGTTACATCTAGTTGTGAAATTTAGGTTCTTAGGGAAATTTTATGAGCAGTGAAGCAACTACTTTAGAATGGAATAAGGAGGCTTTGTTAGTAATTAAGTTCTCCAAGTTCTGCCATCATTCTGTGTCAGATTGTAGGCAGTGGGAACTTCACAGTTCAAACATAGCAAAGGGAAAAATTATTTCTATTTAATTGTGTAATAAAAGAAATCAAATACCACCTGGTACTTCTGAGAATTCCTAAAATTCCTGATTCGTGGCCATGACCAAGTCTTCCAGACCCTCCTCCCCAACTTAAGGACTCACCTCCATCTGGTGAAGGATGTACAAAACATTAAACAATTAAAGAGTTTAATAATAAAAAATGAATCTTATGATTGTAAAACTAGAAAAGTTTACCAAACTTAAAATGTTATACCAGTAACAGCCACTGAGTGCTCTGATCCCAAAGCTGCTGTATTAATGGTGATTCCAGCCAAGCATTCAACTTTGGTTGGTACAGAAATTAGCCCTGCAGCCCCTGCATACGAAGTGTAAGTTGACGAAGTGCTAAGTCAAATTAGGATTCTGATGGATTTTAGAAGACATTTTTAAAATCAATGTAAATCCATGTGTAGTTAAATAGGAATTTAATGGAGTTTAAGCAAGAGTATACAAATCTCTGTAGTCAGAAAGTTGTAGATTTGGTGGGATTTCATTAAATTGTGGATTCTAGGATAAAAAATATACATGTCAAAGACTATGAACAATCCCACCGTTCACCCAAAGATTTTCATTGGATTCTCTCCTCTCGGCCAACCAACCTTACCTGTGTCTGTACATGCCAGCTAACCATCACCTAACCCACACCCGCACCCACTGCTCACCATTCCTCCCAGCACCACTACCACCTCCTCTCTCCGGTCTCCTTTCATAACTTTGAGTTCGTAATTGGTTTTATAGTGTTTACTGCATTGGGGATAGGTGTCTGCAACTTCTCTGTTCACCCATTTTTGTAGAAAAAAAGTACCATTCTTATTGGGTCATATAGACATGTAGGTACATTGGATTGATTCATTTTGTAAGGTTATGAGTTTTTTTAAATTTATGATCTTTTACGGCATTGGGGATTGGTGTGGGTTGTTCTCTTGCTGTATGTTCTGTTCGTCCTGTTTAAGAAATTTATTAGGATAAAGGACAAGAAAATCCATCAAAATCCACAAAGAAATCTATCACAATCCTCAAAATTCCATTTGGATTCTACAAATCCTATCAAATCAACACATAAAAAGTCTTTCAAAATCCTTTAGAATCCTAATTTGACTACCCCCTAAAAGTAGAGGATGTGGCAACTAAGAAAATCCGTAACAGAAGGAAAAGAAAGTAGAGTTCTTTACTTTTTCCAAGACCAAGCTGCCCATTTGAGTTCTTCCCCCACATGTACAATTCTCCATCTTCTGCAAGATAAGTCGTAAATGTAATCGATGAAATTAACAGTTAAACATTGGGAATTTGGGATAGAACATCTCATAGCAAGAGAAATCATATAATAAATAAATAAAATAACCCACTGTCTTGCTATTGTGCTTTAAATATACATATAGTTGGGTTGGTTGGTTTTGAATGGTACTAATTTACCTGTAATAGCACAAGAGTGGTAGTAACCGGCCGAAATTCGAACAATTTCCTTGCCAATTCCAGTTACCTCTAAGGGCTTCTGCAATGGAACAAACAAACAATATCAAATATGGCACCTCATACACAAAAAGCTTGCAATGAAAACACAAAATATGAATACATACACAAGTGTAAGTTAAATCATGAGAATCCCCAACTCCAAGCTGTCCAAAATCATTGAGACCGGTGGCGTAAAGGCGGCCGCTGCCCGTTAAGAAGAGAGTGTGAGCGCCGCCGCAAGCTATGGCTTCAAGGGATTGGTCGCCAAAGGCAGACGAACGCAAAGGGGCAGGCTTCCACTGAGAGCCCAGGCTACCGAGCCCAAGCCTCCCGTAGTCCCCGTTCCCCCACACCGCCGCGATCCTCTTCCCCTTCCCCCAATCACTCCGACTGCTCAACCACCTTCTTCCGCCGCCTGTACCCCCCAATTTCATTCTCATCGTCCTCCACATATTGTTTTTCCCTCAACTGAAACCCCTGCCTCAACCGGAATCGAATTTCCTTTCCTTCATCTACCACGTTAATGACGGTTAACTGTACCATGTACTGAGTTTTTATTAAAAAAAACTGGGTTTTTATAAGAAATAGTTATTGAAATTGACTCATCAATATTTCGGAAATTGAAAATTAATTAATGTAGTTTTTTAAAATAGTTGTAGCAAATTAATTAATGTAATTTTCATAATTTTGTCTAATAGGTTCAAGGTATCACAGTGTTTATTTTCGTAACTCTATCATGCAAATGATGCAGATAAAGAGAAGGGAGTGATATTGGTATTATTACTTTCACTCTTGATCATGTCTGTTGTAATGAGGCTACAAACATACCATTATATATACACGTTTTGATCCGACACAACCTTACATGCATAAAGAATAAAAAATAAAAATCTTACCTCCCTAAGACTATTCACCTAAGACTTTTAAATGTTGCCACCAAAGTCTCATTTGTTTGCTTCCTAATATAATTACACTAGCCTTCATGCACACGTGCATAAGTCATTTTTTTAATCACAACATGCTACAGCGACTTACACATTTTAAATATATTTATATGCGTAAATTGACAAAAGGAAAGTCAAATATTTGAAGTGAATGAATAATCTTAGATTATGTTACAAGAAACCTCTCATAAATCAATTAAAGCAGCTGAATTCACATTATTATCAACGTGCGAAAAACCATTTTTATAACCAGCATTACATGCCTTTTAAGATGTCTTGAACGTGTTTAAAAATAGACAAAATAATATTTAATAAACAACTGATTGAATCATATTATTATTAGCTCATTATGAGACTAAGCCCAACCCTCTCCCTCATAGTGTAGATAATATCGTTTGTTACAAAAAAATTCATTTGACAACTAATTTAATCACATTATTATCCGTGTGCGAAAAATGACACACCTTGACCTAAATCGAGGCGTGCTGGCCGTCACGTGAGGGTGACGTAATCACGTGCGCGATGTGGAAGTGATAAGGATATAAAAATGTGAGTAAATAAAAACTAAGCTAACTAATTTACACTAGATGAAAATATACGTGTTAGAGACGAGATTTAAGTGTGATTACACATAATTAGAGCAGGACAAATACTAATTATACAATACCAGAGAGATGGTCCTACATTAATTACGGCTTGTCAGAACCGTCGTCAACTCCTCGCAAGCCACCAACAAGCACACCTTCCTAGAACCTGGAAGGGCGCAAAACAGAAAGTGTGAGTGGGCAAAAACAAAGCTTTTCAAAACCATTTCACTTATTAAAAGTAATAACCCTTCGCTTTAAAACCCGTATAATTTCCCTGAAAATAGAACACCTATCTATATCGAAACCATACTTGAAATAGCCAAATCCACATGTATGTCATGCCAAATATCTCAACATAATGAAATAAGTAAACCAGGTGAAGTAAATCAATGAAAAGTAATATGTCAGCCGGATCGACCTATTGTGGCATGTACGGCTGAACCTATAACTCATCAAATATACCTACACACGAGTCAGAACGACCTAGAGTGGTCTGTACGACAGGACTGGGTGTAAATAAATACACTCAAGAGCTACGATCACGTGAAGACTGTGCGAATGATCGTGGGTCACCTACGAGTCGGAACCACCTATAGTAGTCTGTACGACAGGATTGTGCACCTTGGATCCAAGGTGATCGTGCAGTGCGGTGATGTGAAAATTAACTTAACACACAAATTTAACCCTCTTTTGACAATTGTAATATAAGTATAAGTAGGGATCGTTCTGGACCGGGGATTAGGAGGGCTGCTAATAACCTCTAAACTGACTCAAAAACATAAAACTAAACTTAAAAATACTTAACAAGACTCACAAGACTCAAAGCAAACTTAAAATACTCAAAACAACTTAAAACAACTAAATAAACTTAAACTAGACACTAGAATGACTTTGGACGAAAATTCACTTTTACTTGAATCAAAACATTTAAAAACACAAATTAAAACAAATTCTAGCTAATTAGACACACTAAAGTAAAGAGGAATTGAGGTTTGGACGAAGTTGAAATAAACAAACAAGTATGAAAAACTAGACAGATTGTAAAACAAATTTGAGAAATAAGATGATGGATGAGATAGCTAGAGGCTTTTTCTCCACACATGACATGTATGCAAATAACTCGATTTCTAGTTACTACTTCATTGAATTATGAATGACAATGCTCCAAATTAACCGTGACATCACTAGTTAACTCTCAAATTTTCCTTGTTTTATTAGATTGGATGACATCATTCGACAACCCAAAACATTCTTCAAAAGTTCACTACATAACATCATAATAGAGATACAATCAAAGATCATTACGTTTAATGAAAATCATAAGCATTGACAAAGCACTTGCAACTATGACATCATGTCACTCATGCTAGGAATTGAACTTAACGCGATCGTTTATAAGCGACCTCCACTACTTATGAATAAAAGTTTGTAACGATTATGTGAAACTTTCTTATATTCAGCATCGGATTTATGCATGCCAATTAAGTGTCGACCCTTAATCAACAAATATAAATAAGTTATCAATCAAATAGTTAAGCCAATTGCATTCACGATTCAAGAGTTCATAACTGGAATTTATCAAATTATATTGCAATAAACATAGTCATGGCTTTGAAATCACCCCTAGCCAAGAGGGGTTTAGCCACTCATATTTACAACAAAACGAAAGGAAATAAATTTAAACATTAGAAACAAAAGAAAGAAAACACCTAAACGCTCCAACGATCCAAGTTGGACAGCAAGCGCGTCCAAGCACTTTCCTTTCCCTCCTTTGCTACATCACAAGGTGTTGGTGAGTGTTGGAAGGTTTGTTTGTATGGAGGAATGGATGTGAAGATGAATGGATGTGTTTGGATGAAGATTGTGTTGAAATGGGAGTGAATGATCTAACCCAGTATGAACTAAATTTATGTTACACACACTTCCTTTTATAGAGGAAGTGCATGGTAATGGAGGGGAACATGGAGTGGTGTAGCAATTGAGTGCAATGATGCATGAAATCTGAAATGATGGAGGGAACAAGGAATGGTGTAGCAATTGAGTGCAATGATTCAATGTAATGATGCATGAATCTGAAATGATGGAGGGAACAAGGAATGATGTAGCAATTTAGTGCAATGAGTGGTGTTTGAAATGATTCAAAGGTGAAAGTGAAGTGATGATGCAAAGCATGGGGGTAAAATGGAGTGGTGTTGCAGCTAGGGAACATGAATGATTGTGCACATGGTAGAGAAAGGAAAGGGAGGTGGAATGATGCAACAAATGAGTCCATGGAGGGAACATGGATGATGATGCACGACATAAGAATCCAAAGGGAGTGCAATGGTGGTGCATGACAATGATGGAAAGGTGAATGGTGGAATGACACCCCTTTGTGGTTGAACTCTTTGTTCTTTTTACATTAATTCTTCTTTCTCTTTAACACATTCCTAGCCTCTTTAGTCTTCAATTTCCTCCATCCACCTTGCTCCATGCATGTGCTATTCATTCCAAGCCCAAAACTGCTCCAAAATGCACCAAAATGCATCTTATTGCTTGATAAGGCCTATGGACCTACAAACACACGAAAATAGCTTAAATACGTAATTAACTAAGAAATAACAACATAAATGCATGAGAACAAGCTAACTCAGTCGCATAAATATGCTTCTATCAAATTCCCCCACACTTAGCTTTTGCTAGTCCTTGAGCAAAACAAAACAAACGAAAAAACAAAACATAACATAGACCTTCCAACACTTGCCTCAGGGATTTTTAATGAAATATGACATGTTAAAAATCATCATTCCCACAGATTTTGGTCATCTTTACACTTGAGCACATACTTAATCACAGTCACCACTTACTAGTTCACAATTAACCAATTAAAACGATGTTTTGAATGTAGTAACATGCCTTAGAGAATTTGCTCAATTTCTTACAAGATACTCTCTATTTTCACACACATTTTCTAACTACACACCCTACACTAGTATATGTGAGAAGATTAATGTAAACACGAAAGACTAGGACTCACATATGTCATAACAAAGAAATGAATTTTTTGGAGTTATTAAGCATGTTTAGATATGATCTCATGAATGGAATGCTACTACTTAGATGCGAGAACCAGTAACACCATATGCTCATACCCAATTCCAAACTCTACAAATTGAAACACACAACACTCAAGATTGAAGTCAAGGGTTGTAATAGGGCTTGGGGGTAATGGCTAATAAAGAAAGGATAGGAATAACAAACGTTCTTAAAGCGATAGCAAGCAAAGCAATGAAATAGACACTTGGAATTCATTTTAGAATGCAGAATCAACTTTTAAATACAAAGGGAAGATTCATGCAACATTTAGGGCCGAATTCAATGTTTTGGACCCTTTTTTAACAAACTTTTTTCTTTTCTACCCGTGCCTTATTAAGGACTTTGGCACCCACACACACACAAGAATCACTTCCCCCACACTTGCTTTTTGCAATACATTGATAAAAAAGGAGTTCATTTTAAGTCATGCTTTACTATGCTTCAAGAACAAGGGTATGGATGGTCCTAAAACTAGGCTAGGTAAGGATAGTGTGGATTAACAAAGAACATAGGCTTAACAAGGCTCAATGGGGTTAAACTTAAACACATAATGAAATAGGGGCACGACAATTTGGCTTTGGTAGTCACTACACAACTTCATCTTGAATATGTGTTATGCAAATCAATAGCATGCTTTGAATGAAATAGGCATGAGTTCTAGCATTTGGAACTAAATGATGAAACGCCTTTTAAGTAGCAACCAAGCAAAGAATAATGAGATCATGCAACGACTTTAGAAAACAATGATGCATAGATTATTAACTCTCCAAATAAACGTTTAGGCTCAAGTCTCACAAGGTTGTAGCGTTCATTTGAGTTCCTTCCTTCAAGCATGTTCCAAAAACTGATTGTTCCTTTATGATTGCATGTGAATTCATAAATTATAACCACAACCAAGCATACACCAAAGAGTAAATCAAATTTTCATCCATG